TAGATACTGAGGTTCAAATCAGCTCTACAAAGATATAAGGATTAAATAATATAACTCTAACTACAAATATTGGTTCTGCTATAGCAATACTAGATCAGTTGTAAAAATAAATACAGAAGGTTTTAGAAGATTTATCTTAAAAATAAAATAGTTCTAAGGTTAAAATAATGTTTTGGACATCTAAGTATAACTTAGTGATATTAATACAGTTTATAGAGTTTAAAGTAGAACACCCAAGCAAGAGTATTAGTGAAAAACCTTTGGGAAGATTTTTTAAATAGATAATATAGAAATGTTACATGTATAGCTAATTTTATATTCTTTTGTAGTAGTTCATTAAATTACATTGACAAAAAGGTTATTAATAAAAAGTCAAAAAGCCAAAGTGGTTATCTTAACATCAAAAAAAAATAATATATACCAAATTCTACTTTATTCTTTGATTTGGTTGTAGATTATTTACCTAATTAAAATACTTGTTTAACAAGTTTATGAATAAAACTCAAGACTATTTGCTTGTACTTTGATAGATATTAATTCTAATAAACAAGTTAAATTATTTAAATTAACTTATGAACTTATTTTCTTTAACTGAAATAACTTGGTAAATAATAAATCTAATGAAATAAAAAAACTAACTAATTTTTTAGAATTGACACTTAGACTTACTTTTTCTAAGTAGGAAGAATTTAAAGATTAGATATATAAATTTATATTAAAAGAAGGTTTTAAGTATAAGATCAAAATAAGTGAATTTATCTAATATGTAATGTGAAGAGCCATTTACAAATATACTAAATATGGTCTTTATACTCTACAAGTTACTTCAGATCTAACAAAATAGTGTAATACTTATTCCTAACAGATGCTATATTCTTGAAAGCTTATGTAACTTGTTTTAAACAAGTAATATTAGAAAATAAACTTATTTTTTTTTAATGTTAAAGTTACTATCTTCAGAATGCAATATTTTTATTTAAGTATATAGAACATAGCATGCCATCAGAAGCTACTTTACATTGGAGATTAAACTAGTTACATATGCACTTTTGGTGCCTAATTTAAGTAGTCTGCTTATACATTACTATATAAGTTCTATACTAGATATCATACTTGCAAGCCAACTAAGAGTCTTGCCTATTTAAATCCTCTGCATATGCAATCCTTCTTGTATTATAAAAACATCTTCAAGGCTACACCTATTCAAGTTTCTGATGCTAATTAGTATCCTTAGGACTACTTTATCCTTGACAAGAAACTTATTAGAGCCTTTATGTTATACATATACTAACTTAGTTTTATGCAACATACTATAGTTATTTAACACTTGCAATCACAGAAGTTATCTGTTTAACTGCTATATTATACTATTTCTATTCTTGTAAAGTTCACTAAAATTCTAGTATCTATCTTCTTAGCATCTTCTTTATTATCTTCTACTAGTTACAACTCAGAACTATCAGTTTTATATCAGACTATCAATCTAGATAACTTAGTATAATATATTTCTGTATTCTTTTCTTCTGGCAAGTCTGATAGTCTAGTTGGTTATATGCTTCTCTACACATATTTGTCATTCAGTTTTAATCTTCAGTTTCTATAAAGATGTTTCATAAGTTTTAACCAGTTTGATAGTATTGTTAAAAGTTAATACTATCTTTTTATTTAAAAAGTTTTAAGTGAGTTTCTGTCATCTTAGTTCCTTAGTCTTCTATGCCTAGTAGTCTTATCATGGGTTTGCATCAAAGTTTTATGCAATACCAGTTATACATTTCTCTTTGTACATATAATGTTACACTTCATATAAATGCTCCAAGCTTCTAATATTAGTATGACCTGACTTGGTATATCTGGGTTATAGCTGCATAAGGCCAACTAATTAACAGGAAACAGTTACTATAATGCAGATATAATTTCTAAATTTCATTATAAGTAGGATTTGAATCTTAGACCTGCTACTTGGAGAATAACAACCCAACCACTGCACTAGAATTACCATTCTCAAAATAAACTTATTTAATAATAAATATAACTAATTATTTATATTTATAATTCAAGAAATAGTTTTACAATTTTGAAAATTAACTACAAAAATGCTAGCTAATATGAAGAAATATGTTGTTCAAAAGCAAATAGATACAAGTTCTATATATCTCTTATTAAGACATAACTACTCAAATTAACTTATTTACAAATATGACTTATATATTATAGTTTATCAGTTTAGAAAAAGAAATAATTTTAAAGACACAGATGCCTTACAAATACTTTAATTATTAATAAATTAGAAGGAATTAGAACCATTTTGGATTATAAAAACTAAACTGAATCTAATTTTAAGAATGCTAATTTTATTTTTATAAATTTTTTCTATATAAAGAGAGTTATATATTAAGTATAATAATGTTATTATAGTAAATAGCACTTATAATACTAACTAATTTCAAGTGATATTATGTATTATAACTGTAATTAATAATAATTTTTAAATCAGAATTATAGCATATACTATTATTAAGAATAAGATACTAGATACTTACTAATAAATATTTAAAAATATATTTATTAAAACAAATGTTTTTTCTGGAATTGTTTTCATTAATTTAGATCTTTTAATTATCAAATTGATTAAGGATATTTATTCTAATTTTTAACAATTATTATGCATTTTTTATATAGATTTAAAACTACAGTAAAAAACTTAAAGAAAAACTAGACAACTAATTTAAAAAATTTTATTTCAAATTTTATATTTGTTAGAATTTTCTCTGTAAAGAGTTATTTAAATATAGATAGAACAAATTAATTGAACAATATCTAGCAGCAGCAAAATATTTATCAAATACTTTTTATGTTACTAACTATTTGTAAGCAATACTCTGAATTTGTAAATAGTTTATAGCTAGTGTACAAAGTACATAGCATGTTAAGTCAATAAGCAAGCATATATATAATAAAGTTGGTTATATTACATTATTATACAAATTGTTAATGAGCATTAAAGATTATATCAAAAATAAGAACTATTTTGAAAAGTTTGAAGCTAAACAAATTTTTTTACTTATAGTCAGTATCTAATACTAAATAAAAGATTCTTTGATTAAGTAGATGTAATAATTAATAGCTTTTTAACTTTTGTAATACTCAGAAAACAAAGTTCTTAAATGAAATCAATTTGTATACTATAATATTATTCAAGTTACAAAGTAGCATCATTTGATAGAAGTAAGTAATTTTACTAAAATTAGTTGTAATATAGTATAATTAGTAATACTATATTAAAGAGATGTAGTGACCTAGTGAAGTGGTCAAGTTGTCAACTCTCAAGTGGCAGGTCTAGAGTTCAAATCCCATAGATAACAAATTTTGGAAAATAGGTCTATGTTATAGTAACTGTCTCTGTTGATCAGTTGGATTGGTATATTTGTAATCTTTGTTGCACCATCTTGAATGAGAGCTCGGAGCATCTATGCTAAGTGTAACATTACAGCCACATAGAGGAATATTAATAACTGGTGTTGCATAAGACTTTGATACAAACTTATGATAAGACCACCAGATGCAGAAAGCAAAGGAACTGAAAAGTCAGAAATCCATTTGGAAATCCTAAGTAAGAAGGTAGCACAAAACTTTTGACAGTGCTGTCGGACTGATGGAAGCTCATGAAACATCTCCAAAGAGATAGGTGGATAAACCAGATAGCAAGATGTATAAAGAAACATATAACCAACCAGGCTACTAGAATTACTGCAGGAAAAGAATACTAAGATATATTATACTAGGCCATCTGGATTGGACGTTCAGAAAGTCTTGTTAGTTCTGAGTAGCAGTTAATAGAAGACGATAGAGAGAATGTCAAAAAGATGGATATCAAAGTTTTGGGTAAACCTTACAAGAGTAAAAGCAGTTTAATGGTTAGCTCTAACTGCAAGTGATGGTTTAGGCCAAAGTGTGACCAGATAAGTTGTAAGTATGAGATACAGAATACATTAGTAAGTTTAGTACAAAGTTAAATATAACTTAGTGACTATAGTATATTTTTATCAGTTTATCGAAATTATTAATAAGATGTGGTAGATATAGAATCAGAGTGTTTAAATAAAGATCCTACAGATGGGTTCTAGATATAGCAACTAGTGTAAAACCTTCAGGTGAACTACTTAAATTAGACACTGACTAAAGTTGTATGAGTGGCTAGTTGTATACTCTTTTTATGATCACCTCTGCACTGTTATGTCAATGGATGCTGGCCAACTGATACTACTAATAAAATTCTAGGTTACATGTACTCATCTTAATATTTAAAAAAAAAGTAATACTGTTTTAGAATTATAAGGCTAAAATTCAAAACAGAGTAATACAATAAAAGTAATTTATTTGTATAAGACTAAATATTATTAGATTAATAAAAATTCAACTATTAATATATGTTTAAAGTAATTTTAATAAATTAATTTTGTATTCTTTATCATTATAGTTAAACAATAATAATAAAAAAATAAAAATTGGAATTAAAGAACAAGAGCAGTATATGCAACAGATTCTTTTTAGCTTTTTAGTTAAAATTATACCTTAAGCAAAAAATAATCTTAAAAGTATAAAATGTATATGTAATTGAAACCTAAGAAGTAGAACACTATATAATTTTGCTTAATAAAGATTTATATTTATGTACTTGTCTTCTTTTGATAATTATTTTTTTGTGTTAGTATTTATTCAAAATTTGTTATCTTTTATATAACTATAATTTCAAATTGATAGTACTTAGATTCTGATATTAAACCAACTGACTTTTATAACAGTATTTATCTATTCTAGTATATAACATAATACAATTAGAAAAAAATATGTTATTTAAGCAAAGTATCAGTTTTTAGTATTTTTTATCTATTTAGACTGATTTACATAGTTCTTATTCAATCATAAAATTAACTAAAGCTGTATATGCAGAATTGGCTAAGTTATCAAAGAAGGTTATCAATTGTATTATTAAGACAAATATGCAATATAAATTATTAAATATTTTTAAATCATTTATTTATAATATTCAAAATAAGATAAACAAACTAGTTTTAAAAAATTTAATTAATGTTAATTATTTTATTGTTATCAAACATAAAGAACAGTCTTCAAAAAGATTAAAGATAAATATTAAAAAAAGTTTATATAAAAGAAAAAAAGTTTTATTAAATAGTATAAATATTAATATAATTGAAAATAATACTTCAAATAGTATAAAAAACTTAATAAATAATACAAAAAATCAAAAATATAAAAAAAGTATAAGCAATATAAGCATTATACAAAAACATATTAAAATATTATTTAGAGTTATTATAGTATAAATAGTATTTATTTATTGTATATTAATTTATTGACAAAATTAAATTATATTATATTCAAAATCAGAATTAGAATTAGTTAAAGTAAGAATTAGATAAGAGTTAATATTAAATTTTTCCTTTGTATTTTATGCTTTTTATTTTTTTCACTTTGCTAGATTGATTAAAATTCTTATTTAGTTAGACAATTATATATTTTAAAAATTAATAAGATAAGATTACATTTTGATTATCTAATTAGATTTTAATTTTCTAATATATCTAAGATGAATATTATAAGATGCTTATACAAATAGGAGTATATTAATAAAAACCAAGCAAATTATTTTTAGTAAGTTTTTTAAAATTTTAAATTAAAATATTTTAACAACTATTAAACTAACTTTGATGAATTTTTTTTCTTTTAATTCTATAACTATATAAAATTAAAATAAAAAAATTTTTATCAAGTTTGGTTAAATAATTGTTAAAATATTTTACTTTAAATTTTAAAAAAAATTTACTTAGAAAAAATTTGCTTGGTTTTTATTGACACACTCTTAAATATCTAACTTTTCTGTATAACACCTTATAATATGTAGTACAATTTTTATATCTTTTGTAGTTCATTAATTAAAATATCAAAGAACATGTTATTTTAAAGTGCATTATATATAGTTTAAAAAAATTACTGCTAAACATTTTGGCCAATATACTATTTTGATAAATGTTTATATAATATATTTATATATATCTACTGCTAATAGTTAGGGTAAAAGCATTTTTTATAAATATTTTGTATATTAATATGTTAGTATAATAGAATAAATAAAGCTAACAGATGTAGCAAAATGAATAGTGAGATTATTTAGGACTAGTAATTTTATTATAATTGTATTTGTTTTATATCTTGAAAATTATCTTTATTAAATTTATTATAAATATAATTACATTATATGAGCATGTTTATATACTATGTATATAAATAAAAGATGTTTAAAATAAAATATATTAATTAAATTATTTAATTTGAGGTTTATTAAATCTAATATATTGTTTAATATTAGGTTTATTAGCATTAACTATAGCATATTTTCATTTTAAACATGTTTTTTAATATATAGTTCTACAAGTTTGCAATAATGTGAATATCATAATTGTTTTTTAACTTTAATATAAGCATATACTTCTAATGGTTGTTTTTTTTAGCATATTGCATAAGCAAGCATTGTAATTATATAAAATTGAATATTAATATTTATATGATTAATAATTGAATAAGAATCCAAATTCTTGATAGAAATTTTGCATAAATTTAAATTTTTTTTTTAAACAAAACTAATTAGTTATTACAAATAATAAATATTTTTTATGCTTTAAAAAACAGAAATAATAAGATATACTATAAACCTTGATCTTAAAAAAGTCTTATTTAAAGAAACCTAATTTAGAGAAACTTAATTTAGAAAAACTTAATCCAAAAAAACTTGACCTGAAAAAACTTAACTCTAGCAATAGCAAAAGACTCTAAAAAAACTTAACCAACTAACAACTTCTAACTAAGGCAAAAATTAACTAACAAACTTAACTTTGTAAAATTTAACTAAATGAAACTTGATCTGAAAAACTTAACTACTAAAGCTTGATTATAGTAAACTTAATTATAACAAAGCTTAAATACTAGAATATAACAAAACTAAACTACAATAACAATCCAAACTCTTTCAATTATACATAAACTTGACTATAAAGAAACTATACAAAATACTGTTTTATTTATATTAAATATATTGACAAGATTATACAAATATAAATTTTTACTAATTTTACTGATTAATCATGTCTAACAATTTAGAATCTACATTTACACACTTGTAGTCAATAAAATTAAACTTCTGTTATACTTGAGCATAAGGTTAAAGAAAATTTGTAATTGCAAAATTTGTATATAAACATGATATTTATCATATAGCATATGTAATTACAAATTTTACATATTAATAATACATAATTTGCACAAAATTATAAGTTTTTACTTATATATAATAACAATACTTAATACATTTTATAATTATTAACCAAAACTTAAAAAGTAATTACTAATACTGTAATAATATCTATTGTAAAATAAATATATAATAAATCTGATATTAATATAATATTATATAATATAAAGATTATATGATGTCAACAAATCTTTTGCTTTATATTTATAGAAAAAGAATCATATTTACATATTTTTGTATTTTATTATTTATTTTATTAGCCTCTATTATTTATCTGTTATTATATTATTATATGCCTAGCAATTATCATTATGCATAGAATTATTATGCATAAGATTATTATATATAAGATTGTTATACTGACATTATTATATTAGTATTAGTACCAAGTGCAGATTGAGTTGAATAATAAATCATTTTATAATAAAGATTTAGAGAAAAGAGTATTAGCATTAGTAATTATAATTTATATAAGAAAGTATGTAAAAAACTTTGTAAAAGCAATTTAATACCCTTATATTTTAAAATATATATAATATACTCTTCTTGCTGATTCTTGATTGCAAAACAAGAAAAAACAAAATACAAAAATAACAGAAAAACAGACTAGCAAACACTCTTTAAATAACTAACAAAAAAGCTGTAACAAAAGAAAATATATATAATATAGTAGAGGTTAGAAAACAAAGAAAGCTGCACTAAGATATTAATAAGAAACAGCAATATTTTTAGTAAGAAAAATGAAAATTTTAGAGGAATTGGTATTATTCTGAAAAAACAAAAAACAAAATATGTAATAACTGTAGTAACAACAAACAATAACAAACAAATAAGTCTTATATTTAATTAGAAAATAGCAAACCTCATTATAGAATTAATAATATAGTACTAACAATATACTAATAAATATTACAAAGTTTAATTCTAGATACTAATTAGTCTAAAAAGAGAGATTTTGATCTAATTATTAAAATATAAACCAATGAATAAAAATTGCAATACAGATATCATATAGAAATTGAAGACATGCTGACTGTAGAATTCTGGACCAAGTTCTCAAAACTCTTATACAAAACCCAAGTAATATAGAACATATTACTAAAAAATTAGCAATATATAATCTAAAACATGTTACATCTCATAATATATTAGTATATAGTCAAATATTAAAAACATTAAAAGTAGCAAAAACAGGCTGGCTCAAAGAAGAGATAATTAATGAGTGGGCAGAAAAGCTTAAGTCAATAAGCCTCAATTCAAACTCTTTTGAATACAATACAAATATAAATACAAACAAAGAACTAATATATTAAAAAGAAAGAAAAACAAATAATGAGCATAGACTAGAAATATTAGAAGAACAAATAAAAGGTCTCAGCATCACTATATCATATCATCAAATAAGTCAAATGGTTAATAAATCTAAAATGCTAAAAAGTAATATAGTGCAGGAAATAGAGAAAAACTGTAAGAACACAAATATGAACTAGAAGAATAAGAAGAAGAACCAACCGTTAAAGAAACCAGCATTTTATTTTTTGCAAGTACAATTAAGCATAGTCGATAGTCTCCAGAAAACAGAATATGCAACAAGAACAAATCCTTTAAGACAAATATGCCAACTTATGCTTTACTAGGTAAATCTAAAAAAGAATGAGTAAAGTATATTCAGTAAATTCTAGGAAATAACTAATATATTAAAACAATCAAAGAAGTATTCAAAAATAGAAACAATTAAATAGAAGTAGATTTTAATTGTAAACATAGCAGAGATGCAGCAATAGACAGAATTAGGAAAAAAGAAGATAAATAATATAAACTTATTTCAGAAGAAAATAAGAATAAAAGTTAAGAAGCAAAGCAGCAAAAGAAACACAATACTAAAAAAAAAAAGATATAAAACAAACAAAAAAGAATAAAGAACCAAGAAGAATGAGTAAAATTAAAAAACAAGAAAAAGAAGAAAAAAGAAAAGATGCTACGAAGAGAAGCATTATAATAGAAAATAGCAAAAACAAAAAAGAAGAATTGCAAGAAGAAAAATAGTTAACTATATAGGATCTACTACCAAAGATTAATAAAAAAAAGATTAAATATATGTGCAGAAAATTCAAAAACTTGAACATTATATGAGTCAAGAGATTACTATACAAGGCACTGGCAATAACAGTAGCAAGTTTAAAGAAAGAAGAAAATATTCTATGAGTACTGCCACTTGGCAACAACAAACTAGTATGTATAACAATTAGGAATGAAGATTATAGCCAAAGAGATAAGCAAAGATAGTACATAACTAAATTATTAAACATTTCAAGAGAAGCCTTAAAAGTGCTTCTTTTATAATGCCTAAAGAACAAAGACACAAAAGCAGTATACATCCTACACAACAGAAATTGGAAATTAAAAGAAGTTTGCAATAACTACTTTTGCAAATGTTGTAGCAGTAAAAGAAGCTCAAACAACACCAATATGGTACAATAATCACTGAGTAAGTTAGAAAAATCCTAAAAGAAGAAAAGAACAAAAAAGAAATGAATCAAAAGAAAGAAAACAAGAAAGATCAAAAGTAAATAGCAAATGACAAGAGGTGTCAAGAATCAGAAACATAATATAAGAAAAACTAAGTAAAAGATATAATGAGATAGGTTTAGACCCCCAGATACAAAATATAAAAAAATAGTTAGAAAACAGAAATGTCAACATAAAAGTAAAAGAAGATGATCTAAAGAAATTAAAAACTAAAGCAATTCTGCAAGATTAAGCAAAAACTGTACAAGTAGAAGATGTCTTATGTCAAATTTTGAATAGATTAGACAAAATAGAAGAAATGCAACTAGGTATAAAAAGAGGCCTAGCTGATCACTCTTAAGAGTGTCACAATTGAACTAATGAATATAAACAGAAATTGAAGAGTTCTTGCAAATTGAAAGAGAAGTGTTTAAAGAAAGAAGAGAAATAGAAATTCCTTGTCAAGAAAAAAAATTATATAGTAGAAAGAAAGCAGAACTTAAAAGTACA